AAATTTTAATTCCTTTCCCGTATGATTGTTTGTTCAAACGTCTAGAGTCTCACCGCGGTATACTTCCGCTCACGATATGGTATCCTAGTCCATGCTTAATTTTCTTCTTTATTTTCCCTTTTCATATCTTTATCGCTCTTTTAGGCCCATGTACGCACAAAGACTGTTAAAAAAGCCTCCCGAACAATAATTGAAAGGTTTTATTCGAAGATGACTCGTGATTTTCATACCAATAAGAAGGTCTGTCAGGATGTTGCCGTTATTGGCTCTAAGCGACTTAGAAATAAAATAGCTGGTTACGTTACTCATCTTATGAAAAGAATAGAGTCGGGCCCTGTCCGAGGTATCAGTATTAAGCTCCAGGAAGAGGAGCGCGAGCGCCGTGATAACTACCAACCTGAAGAGTCAACATTGGATCAAATCAGCTTGGAATTTGATTCCTTCATTATTGGCATGCTCAACAGTATGGTGCGTTTGTATTTCGTTTCTTTATTTATCTTTCAGAACCTTCCTCATTCGAAAGATATGAAATCCCTGCCCCCCTTGCAAAAAATACGGTGAATCAAAATAAAATATTTGAAAGGCTCATGTGTTCTTGTCTTATCTGGTTTTGTCTAAATTCTAATTCCGTTCTCTCGTATCACATCTATTTAAGCTAGCCTGCGCTTTTGATACTAGGGCGTGTACATCATTAACGGGGGTGGTGTGGGCACCTGGCGCACTTCATTCGTGCAGTTACTTGATTATCTTTATTAGTTGTAAACAATCTATTTAAGTTTTTGGCTTATCTGATTATCGTATAGGCTAACAGCTTTTCTAATCTATTACGCTAAGTGTCGAATTTATCTGACCGGCAGTGTGCTGTCTGACAGTCAGCTCTCCACGGCCCTTACGTCCAGTCTGCTTATAACTCGTTCAGTTCTTGGGGGCTGGTGGCTAGCATTTTGCTGTGTTTTACTTTTGTCCCTTGGTTTCCTTGTACTTACTGTGATCAATCGGACGCTCAAACTCTCCTACCGTTGAATATTGTCTGTTCCTGTTAATGCCGAGGTATGTCTAAGTCTATGTCGCTAATTAATACTCTTCTAGCATCCTCAAGCGGTGGATGAATTCTGGAGTGGAAATTCCCTCCGAACACAGATTGGCGTTCTCGAACTGTTATTTTCAATATATTTATTTCTCCGCTTTCTTTTTTATGACCTAATGTCTTCCCACTGATTTGGTGCCGCTTTCATATCTTTTGTCTTGATTTTTACGATTACTTTCGGCCGTGCTTCCGTCTTACTTTCATTCTATCTTATTTGCGACCTCAGAGCTCGATTGGCTTTGTTTTGCAAGTCACTAATTTGAATGCTTGTTCACATTCGATTTTACTTATCTTTATCTATTTCATGTGAGATAGTTTTGCGCCTCGCATATTTTTAGTACGTACTGCACTCGTGGTCCTTGGCACAATGTTCGTGAGTCTCATCTCTTTCGCAGGAATCTGGCTGTTGAGCTTATTGTCCACACTGGATTACTAGCAACAGTTGCCCGGATTTATGTATTCTAATGTCGATCGGTCCTGGGCTATCTTGTTATGTTATGCGCCATTTATTCACATCATCTATATACATGACTGCGGGAGCTGTATTTCTTTTATATGGGCCAGAGACCTGATTCCCCCGTACGATCGACGGGACTGGATATGAGTTCGGCGCTGCTCTGGTACCATGCAGTGTCATACAATAGGCCAGATTGAGATAGTGAGGTGCTTTAAAGTTAATGCAAGCTGTGGGGTTCATCTCGCGTGGCTGCCTTTGCCCCGATAGTTTTGAATAGTCGATATCCTTTGAATTCCTATCTAGGCAGCGAATGGAAAGTCCCCACTTCGTAGTTTATTTTTCCACGGGCGTTGTTCTGTGGTGGATATTGTGAGTGGTAATAAGCTGGGCTCTTCCGTTCAAGGTCTTAGTGATCGATGCAGTATTATCCCTCGTATTGGTTGGTGATAAGTGCCCCACTCGCTAGCCGACGGAGGGTGAGTTCTTTCTTGCCTTTTCCCCTGTACGATACCTCTTCGGACTCTTCTTTCTATCGAAGTGCTCATTGGCATATGAGTAAATTGGTATCTGCGACACACTTGGTTCAATAAGAGACATGATGACCCTTCTGTCGAGAGAGTTTATTTGTCTGAGCTTTCCTTGGTACTTCCGGGGTAGGATTGCGCCTCGCTTCTTATAATTTTAACATTAGACTATCGTCGGATGAAGGCCTGCACTACGCCAAATTTCCACCTTGCCAGCATTGGACCTATTACTTCCTAGTGGTTCCAGACTTATATTATATCTTCACTTGGTATGGGAGTTGGAGCCAATTCGTTCATTCCATATTCTAGTCATTTCCTCCACGGCTGCATCCCTTGTGCAATCAAGTCGGCCAAAAGGCTTCATGAATTGATACTTTCTAGGTCCTTGAGGTTGAATCGACACCAGGGTTGCAATTATTAATGATACCTTTAATAAAGAACTGACTGCCATTAGCACGTATCCATAAACCGTGACAGGGACTTGCATTTATCAAGTCAACAAATAGAATCCTTATATCACAGGTCTACGGTATATGAAGAAAAATCACATTCAGGAATTGACATCCGGCCACTACTTTCCGGTAGTAACAGAAGAGCCGAGTAAATCAGCGCCTACTTAGCAGGTCTATGCATGGAAGATAAGCTAGTTTACCTATCAAGTACGGAGGATGTTTCTTTATTATTTCATATAAATTAGCCAATCCATGAATAAATATACTGCAAGCTGGAAGTTATTGTTGGTTAAAAAATTACCACAATCGAAGTGCTATTTGTGGGTATTCAAAGCAGACAATTTATTTGAGTCCGTAGGCAATGGATGGCATAGGAAACTTAGCATGGAGGTTATTAGAACACAATAAGCCTGATGCAGTTACCCTGTCGAATGGATTTCAATCGAGGTCGATACCAGAGTTTTATATTACCTGAAGCACGTGATCTGCAAACTGAGGATCCTTAATAACTACAGGTTTATTATCCTTGTAGACATTATAAATTCATATTATTTCAATGTGAAAGCATTCCCTGTGAGAATATGGGACTGGAGATCAGCAAATGGCTAAAACACTTAAGTTCGTAATTGAGTAGGGTTTCGAGACTACATCTCATTAAAACACTTAAGCCCAACCAAAAGTTGAAATTGTGCTTGCCGTCTTGCGGTGTAGACTCCGACGATGAATGCTAATAGTATCTGAAGAATAGAAGCCTCTCCAGTCTGACTGTCTCAGGGGAAAAGTTTGAGACATATGAAAAGCAATTATTATCTTTCTTCACAGGCTCTTGCATAGTTCGGTTAGCTAACCTAGTTCTTGATGATTAAGCAAGGTGAGTGCTTTATTGTTGATTATGCTACACTCAACATTTCAATCATTAAAAAGAATGATCTCGTCTTAAATATGGTGAATGATCTTTTGCTGTGCTGATATGCATGTCCTTATTTTCTCAGATCTCATTTGCCTGAAGTCGCTGATATATATATAACTATCCATTTTATCCTTATTTATGCTACATATTATGTGTTTTGCTGTTATAGACCTCCTATATTGAG